CTGGCCAGGGCGCTATTTTCTTTTTAAATTTATTTTTCAATTACAGTTTACATTCAATATTATTTGAACTAGTTTCAGGAGTACAGCATAGTGGTAGACAACCATATACTTTACAAAGTGTTCCCTCCGATATTTCCAGTAGTCACCTGGCACACAGTTATTACAATATTATTGACTATATTCCCTATGCTGTGCATTCCCCATGACTATTTTGTAATTACCAATTTGTAGTGTAAGCTATTTTCAACATTTCAAAATCCTAATAGAAATTGTACATTTCTCTTGACTAATTCCTTGCTAACTAAAATGTTAAACTTGCCAGTGATACCAGCTCAGTAAAGCAACACCATCACATACTGGTGTGACATTGTAAAATTGCATTTGTATTTTATTTATAAAATTAGAAGAATGATTATGAATCAATTATTACTAAATGAAATTTAGCAGACAAAAATTTTTCAAAATGTCAGATCCATGAGATAAAAACAATGGGAAAAGCTGTAGTAGCGAAAAGATTGGGAACCACTACTTTTTGAGAACCCATCCTGAGAAGGCTTTTGGGGAATGGGAAAGACAGACTAGTGTCTAGGGAGTGAGGAAGAGAGACATGAGAGTCATGAAACAATAATGAGGTTATCAAAAAGAAACTAATGACCACTCTGCTGGCCTGTGCAAATCCTCCCATTTGAAACCTTTGAAGTGTGTTCCCTTTTTATCAGCAGTTTCCATTTCTTGAGAATGGTGCCCTCTTCTGGGGTAAATAATGTGACTACTCCCTTCCACCACTTGATTCAAAATGTGTGTAAAGTAATTGACTAAAGAAACTGAGACCTCTCTCCAGAGGTTAAACAAAATTTTTAAAAATGTTGAATTTTTAAACTGTTTTTAAAAATTGATTTTTACAAAGAGAGGGAGAGAGAAACACCAATATGCTGTCTCCTGCACCCCCCCTATTTGGGATCAAGCCCACACCCTCCCTCCCCCCACTGCATGTGCCCAGACCCGGAATGGAACCAGTGACTGGTCTGGTGCATGTGTTGACACTCAACCACTGAGCCACACTGGCCTGGCAGGTTAAACAAATATTAAAAGTCTTTCCAACTAGTTTGAATTAGGAGCTAGATACATACATAAATATCCGTGTGCTAAATATGTTCAAAGCTGTCTCCAATGCTTTTTTTAAAAAAATATATTTTTTTGGTTTTGGTTTTTTTAAACACTTATCATGCCATGCATTCATAGGGAAGCTCAGGTTCCTTTCCACTGGTTCTCATGAAGTGTGCTTCTCTATGTGGAGCAAGCTGAAGCTTCAGGTGAACCCATGTACCTTTCTCTTTGGCTTCCTTCTTTTTCTAATCATTTTCTTTCACGTGTTTCAGGAAGCTGTCTTGGCTCATACACATTATTGTCTTAACTTGCCCTTAACTTGTTTATTTACAATGCCCACCGCATCCTGGGTGACATTGTAGACTCTTCCAGTCTTGCCATGGTAACATTTGTGGGGCATTCCTTTTTGAACAGTGCCCATTCCCTTGAGGTCCACAATATCACCTTTCTTGTAGATTCACATGTATGTGGTCAAAGGAACAACCCCACATTTTCTAAAAAATTTAGAGACCCTATAGCGGGTGTCTCTCCTCTTTCTCTTTGTGCTAGTCATTTTGGCGAATTACTGGAAGATGGTAGTTACAGCTGAAAAGTTCCAATGCTTTCAAAACCTGTCAAAACCTCGAGCTAAAAGTATAGATGTAAGCATCATCTACGTAGTACTGTTATATTATCTTGTCCTTCCAAATTCCTTGTGCTATCATCAGGGAAGGCATTTTTGTCCTCACATTACTAACAAAGAACAGGTTTTAGAGCTGGGTTGGCCAAGGTTATGTGGCTAGCAATGGAAACATCCCTCCTGTTCCCTCTTTCATTTTCTCCTTACTTCTTAGTACTCTGAATATTCTCTGACTCCGGTGTCTCTTGATTAATTTATAATTTCACCTTAAACTATTTTCAGTGTCATAACATTTTAAATTGATAGTTCAGCCCGGCTGGTGTGGCTCAGTGGTTGAGCATCGACCTATGATCCAGGAGGTTGCAGTTAGATTCCCAGTCAGGGGCTGTGCAGGAGGCAGCCAAGCAATGACTCTCATCATTGATGTTTCTCTCTCTCCCTTTCCCTTCCTCTCTCTGAAATCAATAAAGACATATTAAAAAAAACCCCCAAAAGATAGTTCAATTCCTCTTGTCACATAAAATTGGCATGCAGATGCAAAATGATGGCTTTTTACCTTGTTTTCTAAATATGGAGTAAAAGCCCTGTAAGTTTGAGAATGACCAGAGGGAGGAACATTTATAGTCATCTTGTTTATATCTTAAAGTCATAAAGTTTAATGAGCTGAAGCCAAAGGCAAGGGAAATCTTTGTAGAACCTTGAAACACAGCAATAGATGAGGCCCCTCAACTCCTTTAAAGAAATATCAATGACTGGTAAGATACTTGGAAAATAAAGATGTTATAATGAGATTCTATTTTGAATTGTGCATTTTAATCATGCTACCCCTTCATTGTGCTGCCACCCCTCCCCCAATTTCATCAAATACAAATATCTTGAGATTTATAGAGGGGGGGAAAAATTCTCCATTCCCTCATCCCCATTCCCAAGTTTTCTAGTTGATAACCATTGAGAACACATTTGTACTAGTATCCAGTTTTTCCCCCCAGCTAAGCCACAGCTTGGTCAAATTACTTATGACTTGGTTTAATTTGCACACATTTGCCCTTTCCACCTGACAGCAGCCAGAGATTTGATTTGACGACTTTGGGGCTTAGAAAGGCAGGGTTTGTAGTGTCCTAAATCACAGGAGGTCATTCTGAAAAACGCTAATATAGTCTCTTGCATAGGGAGAATAGGTCTGCTGTATGACTTCTGACATAAAAATGAATGACAAAAATTGGAGCTAAAATTTTTACTTCATCTGTGTTTGCTCTTCACAACATATTAACGTCTGTTCCTTTTATCCCAATTTTGTATGTATGACATTCTTAGCCACATCCACTCCATGTTCCTATGCACATTATACCCTGTTGTAGGGCTGTGAACTTCACCGTGGTAGAATTGGGGGTGGGGGGTGAGGGATGGGACAAAAGGATTTAGAAAAACACAGATTTAGAGATGCATGGCTATTCTCAATCTAGGGAGAGGTGCATTTTCCCACAATCATTAGCTGAACACTCCTTTTTGTTCACAGTATTGAACCCATAAGGTATAGCCCTTTACTTCAGGCCCATTCATAGTTTCGCAGAAGGCCTGTGGCAATCAGATTTAACATTTGTGGTTTCAGCTACTCAGAACCAATCCCTAAACTCCATGTTATGTTGCAATTTTTCTAAGAAGTTTGATGCTCAGGTTACAAGGCTGGTGTGCTAGACATTGTCCAGTGGTCTGTGAAGTGCTCCTGTACCTACATCTCAGTTGGTCTCTTGTTCTTAAGAGCCGCTAGCTGGTGTTTGAAGAGATTCTGAAAAGAAAGCCAACCAGCTCGGCGAGTGATGTAAGAAAAGGTATCTGCTAAGGAATTAACCCTCTGTGTTGCCAAAAGGTTTCCAGTTACATAAGGTTGTATGTAGTTCAGGGTCAGTTAATCCCCATTAGTAAAATAAATCCTTTTATTCACTGCAAACACATAATGTGTCAAAGACATTTAGGCTTGTTTTCTCTCCACATTTTCCCTGATTATTAGGTATTTTATGTTTCATGGGAGCAATCTTCCCCAAAACGCTTTGCGAAGAAACTCAAAGCTTTCAGGTCGGTGCGGCAGAAAAGGCACTGATCTCGGATTCGGATCAGTTCTCTAGTCATGACCGCCACCGATTGACTATGTGACCAGACGAGTAAATCCCCATCTAGGGGTTTAGTTTCCTCTGTTTCAAAAAGGGAATGTGGAAAGGACCTAAAAATAAACAAGGATCAACTTCATGACAGAAACAAGACTTGCGGGACCGTGGTCCTGTCCTGGTCTTCACCTCAAGCCCCCCGAGTCCCTTCGCACCAACACCTTGCCGCAGGCCCGGCGCGAAGCCGTTGGACGTTAACGCTTCACCCGCAATAGGCGGGGCCGAGGCCTGCAGCTTCCGGCGGCGAATGGCGGGGCGGCACGTGGCGCCCCGCCTGTGTCCGGCACGGGGCTGTTCACGCACCAGCCCGCCGCGCGCGCGGGGAGACTTCCCGCCGCCGTTGAGGGGCTTCCTAGTTCCCGCACTGCATGCTGGGAAGCCCCGAAGCGTCTCCGCGGTGCCAAGGAGAAAGGTCCGGGGTGGGGGAGGGGGCGAGAGAAGAAAGAGCCCCCCCGCCAACCATTTTATGCTAATCAGTTCGCGCGTCCTTTACGGAGATTGGCCAGGTTTTTTTTTTTACTCCTAGAAGCCAATCACTTTAGGATAAGGGTGGGCCAATGGAGGTCGCCCATATTCATTGGTTGGAGATTGCGACGCAAGGGAAGAGTTTAAACCGGGAGTATCCGGGATTACTTCTCCCCTACCCCCACCTTGCGGTGCGTGTCCCGGAAGTGACGCATAGCTTTGGCCGGGCGGCCGCCCTGCCCCCTCTTCCTTTCACGCTGTCGCTAGCGGTAGGTGGTTGTGGCCACCGTGCCCAGAGGGAGGCGGAGGCGACCAATGATGCCTGGGAAACTACTCTGGGGGGACATTATGGAGCTGGAGGCACCCTTGGAGGAGACCGAGAGCCAGAAGAAGGAGCGGCAAAAGGTGCGCTGAAGATAGGCCGCGCCTCCTTTTGGGCTGCGCCGGCTTGGGCGGGGAGGGGAGCTGTCCCTGATAGCCTGTCACAACCAGGTCATAGCCTTAGCATCCGAGGGCCTCCCGTCGCGCAGCCCTCGTTCTCCTGAGGTCGCTCCAGGACCATTCCTACCTCCACACCCCCGACCGGCAGAAGGGCCGCACTGGGCTTTGGTTCCTCAGCGCTTTCCGTCAGCGCCTACGAGATGGGCTGACTTACGCTCCCCTCGACGCGGACTCTTGTTTCTTTCCTCCTCTTCCATAAGCAGCGAGGCCTGTCATTTGGTTCTTGTTGGCCGTCTTAGAAAATGATTAAGAAAACCGATTGCCTTGAATATGTGTTACTTCTCTTTCACTAACGTGTGTGCGAGAATCTAGGGGAGAGCGGCCTTAGTTTTACAAACCTCGGTAGCTAGTCTTTAGAGGTTTAGGGAAGAGTATCACAGCCAACGTCGCCAGGATTTGACTGTGATGGAGATCGTGTGGCTTGTAGTATTAATAGCCTTTACTGTTAATGTTTTCAGTCGGTTCGCAAGTATTTATTGAGCCTAATTTGTGCCATACTCTGTGCTGTGCATGAAGGAGTTTAAATGAGTCCCTCCTCTCAAGGAACCTGTCCAATTGTAGAGACTTCCCCCTCCACCCTGCCCCTCCGAAGAATGAGACCTGGAGAAAACAGCTGAGGAGGGTAAGGAAGCGATATTTGAAGGCTGACATTTGACAAAAGAATGAATATATTTTGTGTAGCCCTGGAGAGCAGAACCTTATCACCTTCAGACCTTATAACAAAGGTAAACTTGCCATTCCAGCAAGCAGTTTTTAAAAAAATTACTAAAATATATGCAACATAAAATTTGCCATTTTAACTATTTTAAACTTACAGTTTTGCAGCATTAAGCACATTTATATTGTTCCACAGCCATCACCACCATTCTTCTCCAGGACTTTTTCATTCTTCTAAACTGAAACTCTGTGCCCGTTAAACACCGACTCCCCTTTGCCTCCTCCTCTCAGCCCCTGATACCTCATGTAAGTGAAATCATCTAGCAGTTATTTTAATTTTAGCTCCTCCTGAAATACTTGTTTCTCTTTTTGCGTTTAAATCCTCCTATCCATCTGTTAAGGTTTAGTTATGTTCTGACAACTCCATTGTGTACAGGTAATCTTAATCCCCTTTGAAGTCTTGTTCCAGTGCTCCCTTTATCATTCAATTGTCATTTATTATTGCACTTCCTTCTAAAGTTAGCTCATTTTTCCTGTGTATATCTTTCCCAAATATATCTCAAAGATTCTTGTAAACTGATGGCTTTCACATTGTAGATTCTCCAGAAGTATTTGCTGCAAAATGGGAGTTTAAAATGGTTAAAATGGTAAATTTTATGTTGTGTATATTTTAGTACAATAAAAAAAAATTTCTTGGCTGGAATGGCAAGTTTACCTTGGTGATAAGGTTCTGCTGTCTGGGGCTGTATGATTTGGAAACAGATTAGAATACTAACTAATAGAAATAGAGTTGAAGATAACTTTGGTATGTTTTGCGTACGTTGAGCTATGGAGCTGGACCTTAGGTTCTCAGAATTGGAGTACAGGTGAGGAAGGAAGCCTGGAAGTGTATGTAAAAGCCATGAAAATGGTATGAAGGTGTACATAGAGAACAGACTTAAGGAGCACCCACAGAAAGAGGAGGAAGAAGAACCACTGACGGTAGAGGTAAGAGGATAAGGAGGGAATATAGAGTGTGTGGAAACCAAGAAAGTGGAGAGTGTCAGGCACTGTGGATCAGATGTGGAACAATGTATTTAGTCACCTTGTGATATTGCTGGGCTTGGACCTAGAGGTCTCACTTTACCTTAAGTGCAGGCCCAGGAGCAATTCAAACCCCAAAGGCTGGCTCTATAAATAACCTTGTGTTTCTATAGAAACTATTGATTTGGGGAGATGTGGGCTAGTTCGGTTAACTAAAGATCAAATGATATAACATATTACTGTATAACGTACGATAATTTAAAGATCTGTTTACAAAGCATTTTCACGTTTTTCAGTTTTCACTACAACTCCTGTTTTATGGATAAGAAAATTGTATGTGAAAATACGCTGTAAAAATTGTGTAAATCATGGTCAAATTTTTGGTCATAGTAGCTTTTATTATCATTAATCACTACTATCTAGTTTATTTTGAAAGTTTGACCAAGTAATTCTGAAGTGCTAAATTTTCAAATAATTGCTTACTGTCTACAGATATTAAAACACTGGCCACTAGTCTGGTGTTTTAAAACTGAAGTTGCAGAGTAGTCCTTTAAAAAAAAAAGTACTAAATTTTTAAAACTTTAAAAAATTTTCCAGGATTACTAATATATTTGTCTTTCCATGGGAGTATAACAAATGGAGTTTTACGTGAATTACATAGTTTTATTTTATTTATTTATTTTTTTCTTTAAACTGTTCTTTATCAAAGTTCAGAGAGGAAGCATGATGTAAAAAGATCATGGGCTTTCAAATCAGATGGGTCTTGATTTCTAGTACTTGCACTTGCAGGAAATTCCACATGTGGGTCTTTGGCAAGTTACTTACCTCTGAGAACTTCTGTTCCTCATCTGTAAAATGGCAAAGGTAATACAGGTTCCTTATCCCTTATCCAAAATCCCTGGGGCTAAATATGTTTTGGAATTCAAAATTCTGGGGATTTTTAGATGGGTAACACCCCAGTAGGGTTTTTGGGCCCCCAACCTATTATCAAACGCCTTAATATTACATATGAATATTCATTCTAAGTATAATAAATAAGGATTATAAATAGCCTCACATTAGTTCAAGTCAAATTTTGCGACCAAATGAGTTCAGGTCAGGTCAGGTTTTGTCTCCAAATAAGTTACAAAAAAAACTTTCGGTTTTCAGAGCTTTATGGATATCGGAATTTCGGATAAGGGATTATGGACCTGTACTTCCCTTATAGGGTTGTTATGAAGATTTAAACAAGATAAGCCGAAAACATTACACAATGCTGGGTAGGTACTCAATAAGTATTAATATTTTTTTCTCTTGGAGATATTAGAAGTTTTTGTTTGTTTTTTAATTTATAAATCTCGGGTTCTCATTTTTTTTCTGAAAAGGACTTATTTTACTTTCCTTTAAATCTAATGATGGGATTAGAGAGGGGCTAGAGGCCAAGTCTTGAGAATGTAAGAGATGAGAAAGAAAGCAATAGATGAGGTTAAGGCTTGGCATTAGAAACCAGTCTGGATTTCTACCAAGTTACTTTTCAAGATTACGGTAGGTTGAGCTTTGCTGGTTGAGGAGACGTTCTCTAACTTCTCTTACAGGAGAGTTTGTGACTCTTGTCACTGCTTCTTTGTTTTTTCACAGAGTGATAGAAGGAAGTCAAGACATCATTATGACTCAGATGAGAAATCAGAAACAAGAGAAAATGGTGTTGCAGATGACCTGGATGCTCCCAAGTCCAAAAAGCCTAAAATGAAAGAGAAGCTAAATGGAGACACTGAAGAAGGATATAATAGACTTTCAAATGAATTTTCTAAGTCTCATAAGTCAAGAAGAAAAGATCTGTCAAATGGAGATATTGATGAATATGAAAAAAAACCAAAGCGAGTGTCATCTTTAGATAGTTCTACTCATAAGTCAAGTGATAATAAGCTAGAGGAGGTATGGATACTTTTTGTTTTGCATTTGACATTACCCTTGAAATACAAATTAATTTGATTGTTTAGATTAATTAGAATTGGTTTTATAATATTTTCTGCTTTAGCGTTCAGTACTCTCAGTTGGACCTGGGAGTCTCTACACCCAAAACCCTTTGTCCCTTGTTTCTTTTAAGGTAGTGCCTTTTCTTTGGGGTGAAGGTGGGGAATGGTCAGATTTAAACTTTTTCTGTACATTTGGGTTCTTAAATAGTTTTTCCAAATTGCTTATTGATGGTCAAGTACTTGCATTTCTTATGGTTATTTTGGACCCTACCAGTACTCATGAATTGACTTCTGACTTCCTGAAACAAGGTACATAAGCCCTCTTGACTTTGTGTATTTTGCCTTCTGCTTTTTCTGCGTCTATAACAATAGTAACTTTAAATGATCTTTAAGTCTTTAATTCAATCTTAAAACTGCATTTTTAAAATGGAAATGAAAGATAAAAATGATCTGAAGAAATCTGTTTTGAGTATTTGGCGGGAAGTGTAGAAAACATGTTTAGTATAGAACTTTATTGCTTTTGCCCAGTACCTGTTAGAGTATTTTCTTGCACAGAATTTGTTCTTTTTGACTTTGCAGTTTTCCTCTAGCAGAGTTCATAGATTTTTCTAGGTATTACATATTGTCAGTGAATTACTTAGGTCCTTAGAAAGAAACAACTTTGATAGATTAATAATTCTTTATATTTTTATTTATTTATTTATTTATTTTTTAAAAAAAAATATTTTTATTGATTTCAGAGAGAGGAAGGGAGAGGGAGAGAGAGAGAGAAACATCAATGATGAGAAGAGTCATTGATCGGCTGCAGCCCGCAGCCTGGGCATGTGCCCTGACTGGGATTCGAACCCCGATCTCCTGGATCCTAGGTCGATGCTCAACTGCTGAGCTATGCCCGGCTGGGCTAATTCTTTGTATTTTTAAAGTCTGATAGTTGATAATTTAAATAAATTCGAGCTTAATTTAGTGTGTAATCCTTTGGGGAGCTTTGAGAAAAGATGTTGAATCCTTTCTTACTATATGGTGTTTTTTTAATTTGTGAGTTTGCTCTTGGTCAGGAAACATATAAGAGAGTTAATCTAAGTAAGGCCCTACATATCTATATTGCTAGTAGTGGACGGTAAAGGTTGCTCTTGCTCTTTTGGGATTTTGCTTGGTACATTGCTCTGTATTAAAATAGACTTAACTGCTTATAATTTTATTTAGATCATGTTAGAGTTCAGGAATTCTATTTCTTGGAATTTGTCTTCCTAAGAAGATAGTTATGAGGTGTGCAGAAATATATGAATCAGTACTCTTACCACAGTGACATTGTTGATAACAGCCAAAATTTAAACATCCTAAGTGCCTGGTATTAGGCAGTTGGCTTAATAAATGTTTTTAAATATTTATTAAGCCAATGCCATAATCTATCTTAAAAGTCATAGAAGAATGTTAGAAAGGCATTCAGTGTATCTTATTAAATGGAAAAAGCAGATTACAAAACAGTATATACAGTATTGTCTTATTTTTATTTTAAAAATTTGTATGTGGCCGGGCCGGGCATGACTCAGCAGTTGAGCATCGACCTAGGATCCAGGAGATCGTGGTTTGATTCCCGGTCAGGGCATATGCCCAGGTGGCAGGCTCGATCCCCAGTCAGGGGGCATCATTGATGTTTCTGTCTCTTTTTCTCCCTTCTTCTCTCTGAAATCAATAAAGTTATATTTAAAAAATAAGTAAATAAAAATTTGTATGTGTATAGAGTGAGGGTGGGGGGGAGTGTCTGTTTCAAATGTGGCTTTAGCTGACTGGATTATAGATAATTTTCTTTTAATCTTAAAAACGGACAGCGTTGAGGTTTGCTTAATGACTTACAATTTGAATTTGATAGTATGTCTTTCATCTGATTTCCTATTTGAAAATTGCTCTTTTGTGTGGTTCTGGAACTACTTTCTTTAAACACACCAATAATAAAGTTTATGGGTAGATATGTTGTCTTTGTTCTATGTACACACTGACTAGTACACAAAGTTTTAAATAAATGTTAAGTGAGCCCTAGCTGTTTTTGCTCAGTGGTTAGAGCATCAGCCCTTAGACTGAAGGGTCACGGGTTCGATTCCGGCTAAGGGCATGTATCTCAGTTGCAGGCTCCTGCCCCCAGGCCGCCTGTGGGAGGCAGCCAGTTGATGTGTCTCTCTCACAGTGATGTTTCTCTCTCTCTCTTTCTCTCTCTCTTTCTTTCTCCCTCCCTTCCACTGTCTCTGAAAAGCAATGGAAAAAAAATCCTTGGATGAGGATTAAATAATAATATTAAAAGTTAAATGATAATGTTATGCTAACCTGTGTATAGGTTAAAGACATTTTCAAGCTTACAGGAACTTTTCTTTGTATTAGTGACTTAAAAAATGCTTTTTAGAGCTATAGGACAACTTCTTAACTTTTCCTTTTGAAAACCATTTACTTTTCTCGTGCAATTTCTTTTAGGGCTGTTTTATTGGCTGGTGTTAATCATAATAATATTGTTTGTATCTGTGAATATGATTTGGATTATTAAATAACTTTTGTAATATCTTAGTTAAATGGAAATATATTTTGATTTATGTAGTAGATATATTTCTAAAGGGAGTTTTATGTGTGAATTATTTTTAAGTGTATTATGGGAGAATGTATTAAGTAAGCTTGCTATTTAAAGAGATACTTTTGGAATTAAAAGAATTTTCCACTAATTTATCTTGTAAGTTAATCTATACAGTTTTTGCAAGTACTAAAGTTGTTTTGTTAGCGTACTTAATAAAACTAAAAACAGTAAATGAGTAAAAGATTCTAAATACCTAATCAAATATGAACTATATTAGTTAGAACTTTGATTTCATTTTGACAGACCCTAACACGTGAACAGAAAGAAGGAGCCTTCTCCAATTTCCCTATTTCTGAAGAGACTATAAAGCTTCTGAAAGGTACTATGAATTTTAATGGATATGCAATTGAAAATCTAAATTTAAAAACTATGTTTTCTGACCAAAAGGAGAATTTAGAAAGCATAAATAGCTCTTCTTTAATTGCAGTTGTTTCTACATCATCCTTCTGGTATTCTGATCTGTTTTTAATTCCAAAGAATTATATGTAATTGTCAAAAGTTAAACCATTTGGGGTAGGAATAACTGTAAATGTCACAAGGTGGTATACCTTTAGGCAGATGTTAAGGAATCAGGATTATCATTTTTAAAGTAATATGTTTTTTCCTTATGCTAGTCTTAAATAAGTGTTTCAATGACATCTCATTTTACAGGTCGAGGGGTAACATATCTCTTTCCTATTCAAGTTAAGACGTTTGGCCCTGTATATGAAGGAAAAGATTTAATTGCTCAAGCACGGACAGGAACGGGAAAGACATTCTCTTTTGCCATCCCCTTGATTGAAAGACTCCAAAGAAATCAAGAGACAGTTAAAAAAAGCCGCTCACCAAAGGTAACCATTATAGAGAGTAAAAGGTTTAAACATTAGTCTAATGAAAAGGGTAAGAAAGAGTGTACTGGTTTTAAGTTTAAGAATCCCCCTACCCCCCCCGATAGAAAAGTTAGCCCTGTGGCATAAAGTAAAAATTTAGATCCTAAAGCAAAAATTTGTTGATTTTTTTTTTTTTAAGCTTAAAAAAAAAAATCTCAAGCTAAAGTGAAGTAGTTATTGCATACGAATGTAATGTGTATGGATTCACAGACATCTTTGATAACTAAAATTATTTTGTAGCCAGCATATCTAATAATGTTAGAGGTATTTACAGTTCGTTTATTTAGTGACCTTCTCTTTTTTTAGTCATGACCTTTGCTTTTAAATAATGAATTTGCTAAAGAGATATTCATTTATTTGGTCATTCAGCAAATTATTAATATTTCATTGGTTGACTTTAAGAAGAAATTATAGAAATGATATTGCTGGTCCCTATGTTATTGGGGTACTGGAGATCTGTATTAATTTATAAGTAGTAAAGAACAGAGAGGACCTAGTGAAATTTTAGTTTAAAGTATAACCTTTTTAGAACCTGTGTTCACTTTAAGGTTCATAAAAGTAACAGAAAAAATCAGCATCATAATTTGAAAAGATATGTGCCTAAAAGCAATTTGTTCTTTTAGACTATTAAATGATATTGCAGTATGAAAGTATCACATATATGAATATAAACAAATTATAATGGCCTTGGATCAGGTTGGCCAACAGGACAAATCTTTTTCAGAGTTCTACTCCTTAGTTGAAATTAGGAAAGATTGCAAATAATAGAAATAGGACACAGTTCCAGCATTGCCTTAAAAAGTTTTTACGCTAGAAGGACACTACTGGAAATTCCAGGTCGGCCACTTCTAGCTATTTGATCTTGGGCAAGATTCTTAACTTCTCTAAGACTCAGATTCCTCATTTGTAAAATGAGGATAATCCACTTCACAGAGTTTTTGTGAGGATCAAATTAGATAATTCATGAGAAGCACTAGGTGCCTGGCACATGGTGAGCGTTCAAACTAATATTTTTTGAGTATCTGTTCTGTGCCAGTTACTGTTTGAAGTACAAGGAATACAGTAATTCAAACAAACATAAATCCTTGCCTTCTTGGAGCTTACATTTTAATGAGTGAGACAGACAATAAGGAAATAAATAAAATATGAGTATCTTATATGGTATAAACACTAAGAAGTAACGGGCAAGAGGACTTGAAAAGAGGGTTAGGAAGCTCATTGAGAAAGTGAATTTTGAAAAGAGCCCCTGTAGGAAGTAAGGGAGGATATGATAAATATAAGCTATTGTTCTTGTTGTTTGTGCTGTGCTGTCTTTGAGTACCGTGACATTAATGTTGAGATTCCTAGTTTTAAATGCACCTTAAAAAAAGTCTTCTCAGTTTGAATTTAGACATCTTTAGAAAAGTATCTTTTTGTTTTTTAAACCTCTTGCTCAGGTACTTGTTTTGGCTCCTACAAGGGAACTGGCAAATCAAGTAGCCAAAGACTTCAAAGATATAACTAGGAAACTCAGTGTAGCGTGTTTTTATGGTGGAACATCATATCAAAGCCAAAGTGAGTAAATATGTATGATAATAGTGCAAAAATCTATTTGCTACTTTAAAAATCTAAAGAAATAGTAGGAAAATATCTGTTTGATTTACATATTGCTGATATTTCTCTCCTCTCACAGTTAATCATATTCGAAATGGTATTGACATCTTGGTTGGGACCCCTGGTCGTATCAAAGACCATCTGCAGAGTGGCCGATTAGATCTTTCTAAACTGCGCCATGTTGTGCTTGATGAAGTGGATCAAATGTTAGATTTAGGTTTTGCTGAACAAGTTGAAGATATCATCCACGAATCCTACAAAACTGGTACATCCTAATTAAAAATAAGCACATTAGCAATTGATTCTCTTACATAAAAACTTAATGAATTTTTTATTTTGTAATTTTTACTACATTGTCCCCAATGTTCTTCTAACAAAACTCAAGTTATTTGGTATCTGTTCTCTTTCTGAACAAGAAAGTACAATAGCATGCTTTAACTGTTTTCTTAGCTTTCTATGCTTCCTTCCATGTATTTATTATTTTTTATAGTTAATAGTTAGATTTACTAATTCATTTTATTGATATCTTTGCTTATTCTTCCTTCTTAAGTTCTCACCTTCCTTCTGGGTTCAGTTTTCTTCATATTTTTCCCCAGTTCTGAAAGTTGAAAGTTTTATAATTGCAATGAAGTTTGTATGTTCAAAATTCATCCCACGATTTGAATTTTTCACTATTTCTTTGAAGTTTGGGGGGGATTTTTAAGAGCTTACTGCATCATGGGATATTAAGAAAGCATTTGAATTCTTTTTGTTTAAGATTCTGAAGACAATCCTCAAACTTTACTTTTTTCTGCAACTTGCCCACAGTGGGTATACAAAGTTGCAAAAAAATACATGAAATCCAGATATGAACAGGTTGACCTTGTTGGAAAAATGACTCAAAAGGCTGCAACTACTGTGGAAGTAAGTAGCTTTCCAGCATGATAGATTTTAACTTTTAGTTGGTATTTTGAAATTTGTTGAAGCTAAACTTAAGTTTTGGGTACCACTTCAAGACAAATCTCTTTTTCGCCCTTAGTCAGTAAGATACTTACGTAATTCTATGTCTATGTGACTGAGGAGCAGAATAGAATAAATAGGGGGGAAAAATGTGAACAGGTAAATTTCAGGAGGTAAATAAGCAGCCATTGAGACAGTTAATAAGTATGTAGAATGTGACAGAGGAGGCGCTTCATATCAATTCAAAAAGAATAGTGCTGGGATAATTTGTTAAAGCTTAGGTGAAAAAAGTTAGATCCTCATCTCATATTCTATACCAGAATTTCCCCCCCTCCAAATTAAGGCATAAAGTCATTTAAAGCACATGTAGATGAAGTTATTTGATTTCAGGAAAGGGAAGTCAGAAGAATATGTCATAAAGAAAAAGGTTGATAATTTTGACTTCATGAAAATTTAAACCAATAGTATGTTTTTAAAAAAGGAATTAAAGATAATATTTGCATGGTTTATGATAGGTATGTACCATAAATATAAGCTTTTCCATTTAATAGATATACATGTATGTAGATATAGATAAAAATAGGCTAAATGAACAATAATATAATCTGTAAATACAATGTAATAGTTAAAAAGAATGAATTTGAGTGATATAAACCAAATTACAAATGATACGTACAGGTTTATACTTTCAAAAAAACAAAACACAGAAATGCTAGATTCTTTAGGTATTTAACGTAAATGTACAAAGATAGGTTGGAAGGATAAACATCAGGTTAGTAATGATTAGTTCTAGGAAAGAGGACTTTTATAGTATGGGATGGTCAGAGGAAGCTTTGTATTGTTCATAATGGCTGAAAGTTTTACAATAAGAGTGTGAAATATATCAGTGAAAAAATGTATTAAGGAGATTTTCAAACAAAAATTGGATAATATAAGGGATTTGATGTACCTATCACTAGGTTTTAGGAATGATCTTTTTCTATGCCCCTATAGTTTTTCTTCACCCCTACATTTGAAGCAATCCAGTTATCATTTCATCTTTTTGAAGGATAAAGGCTCTTTAAAAAACAACAACTCAGCCCTAGCTGGTTTTCTCAATGGTTAGAGCATCAGCCCACAGCCTGAAGGGTCCCAGGTTTGATTCCCGGTCAAGGGCATGTACCTGAGTTGCAGGCTCAATCCCTTGCACTGGTCGAGGCCTGTGCAGGAGACAACCAATCGGTGTGTGTGTGTGTGTCTGTGTGTGTGTCTGTGTCTCTCTCCCTTCCACTCTCTGAAAAGCAATGGAAAAAATATCCTCAGGTGAGGGTTAAAAAAAAAAACCAACTCAGAAAACCACAAAGTTATTATCACAGAAGAGAATAATTCTTTAATATCATTAAATATCCAGTGTCCACATTACCCTCCTTGTCTTTTTTTTTTTTTGAATAGTTTGTTTGAATCTAGATCCAAGTAAGATCCTTACATTGACTGGTTTGTATGTCTTAAATCTTTTATAGTCTGTAGATTTCTTCTGTCCCTTTTTCCCCTTGCAATGTTTTGTTGAAAAGAACTGATCAGTTGTCTTACAAGTTTCCCACAGTCTCAGTTTTGCTGATTTGCAACCCTCTAGTGGTAACATGCTCCTCTGCCTTCATTTTTCTGTGAGTTAATGGTTAGATTGTGAGGCTTGATCAGATTCAGGTTTTTTTCTTTTCTTTCTTTTTTTTTTTTTGAGAGTGGGGGAAGCAAGACTTTGTTGTAGATGGTACAAATGATTCTCAGTTTTCTTCTGTGTGCTTTTCTCTGTTTTTCAGGTGTTCTATAATTTATGTGTGTTACATTTTAAAAACAATTTTATTGAGATATAGATGTTAAAATGCACAGATTTAAAATGTGCACACAGTATAAGTTTTTTAACATGAAAATTTTCAAACACAACAGAAAGTTGAATTTCACAGTAGACAACCATATACTCTCCAGCTGGAGTCTGTCATTAATGTTTTACTGTATTTGCTTTGTCACTTATCTACTCATCCCTGTATCCGTTTTATTTGTTGATGCATTTCAAATTGCAGAAATCAGTATACTTCCCCGTAAGTATTTTAGCATGCATGTCTTTCACTAGAGCTCAGTATTTACAAATTTTTTATTGAGGTAAAATCTAATAACTAAATTTAACCTTGTAAAATGTACAATTCAATGTTATTTAGTACATTAGCAATGTTGTACAACCACTGCTTCTATCTATTCCCAAAACACTTCATTATCCCAAAAGGAAACCTGAAACCATTTAGTAGTTACTTTCCCCTTCCCCTAGCAACTGCCAGTCTGCTTTTTGTCTGTGGATTTACCTGTTTTGGATATTTCAAATAAATGTAATCATATAATGTATGACTTTTTCGTATTTAGCTTCTGTCACTTAGCATAATGTTTTTGAGGTTCATCCATATAATATACATATAATATTTACAGTTTTTTAAGATAAGATTTACATACAAAAAATTGCAGAATTTTAAATGTACATTTGTTTGTTTTGAACAGTTCAAGTGTGTAACCCAAACCCTATCAAAATATAGAACATTACCATCATCCCAGGAAGTTCCCTCATGCCTTCTATCCAGTCAGTCCCCCACACTTTGCATCCACTGTTCTAATTTTTTTCTACCATAGATTAGTTTTGCCTGTTTTAGAACTGCATAAAAATGGAATCATACTATGTATACTCTTTTTTTCTATAAGGCTTCATTCTTCCAGCATCTTTTTTTAAAAATATGTATTTGTTCGTTTTTGAGAGGGAGGAAGGGAGAGGGGGAGAGAGAGAAACATTGATGTGAGAGTGGAACATCAATTGGCTGTCTCCCGCATGTCCCCTACTGAGGATCGAGCCTGCAACTCGGCTATGTGCCCTGACTGGGAATTGAACCGGTGACCTTTTGGTGCACAGAATGACGCGCAACCAACTGAGCCACAACAGCCAGGGCCTCCCAGTATATGTTTTGAGATTCATCCATAAAGTTGCATGTGTCAGTAGTTGGTTTCTCTCTCTCTCTCTCTCTTTTAGTTGGTTTCTTTTAATTACTGAATAGTGCTCCAGTGTATAAAATATACTACAGTTTGTTTCCTTTCACCTATTGATGGCCATTTGTATTGTTTTTAAATGGGATTGAGGAGAATCATTGTTTTATTTTCTCCCAGTGAAGCCATTTCTTGAACAGATAGAAAAATGTACAAGAGAAATATTTTCTACTAATTTTAATGAAACATATTTGGCATTTTCTTTCCTCAAAGCATTTGGCCATCCAATGCCATTGGTCTCAGAGGCCAGCAGTTATTGGAGATGTTCTTCAAGTCTACAGTGGGTCTGAAGGGAGGGCTATTATTTTCTGTGAGACCAAGAAGAATGTAACCGAAATGGCCATGAATCCGCACATAAAACAGGTAAGTCTTTTTTCATGGTTTCTTTAATTGAGATTACATGGATGAATCACTCAACAAAAAATCATATTGTCTTTTGTGGCTCAGGTTTGATGGTCATTTTTAGAATTGAGTCTATTCAGAAAGAAGTAGTAGCCAGCCTCTCGTGATCTGTTAAGTCAGGGTAGAATTCTCCCCATTTTCATCAGGTTTTTTGGATTTTGCAGATGTGAGCTTGAAAATGTAGAGGTAGAAACATAGTTTCTGTGGGTAAGAGTGGGTATTATTTTAGGGTTGTGTTGTAAAATGAATCACAAATATTTAATGAATGAAGTCCATGCCTTTTTTCTTTTAACTTTTTATTATAGAAAATTTCAAACACATACAAAAGCCAACAGTGTAATGAACCCCTGTGTACTCATTCTTCAGCTGTACCATGTATCTTATTTCATTCAAATTCTACTTACTTCCTGCTCCTAAATTATTTTCATGTAAACCCTAGATAACATATGTTCATGTATATTTGGGTATGTGTCTCTAAAAGAAAAGGATTATTATTATTATTTTTTTTTAATCTTTATTGATTTCAGAGAGAGGAAAGGAGAGGGAGAGACAGAAACATCAATGATGAGAGAGTCATTGATCGAGCCCGCAACCCGGGCATGTGCCCTGACCGGGAATCGAACCCCGATCATCTGGATCCTAGGTCAATGCTCAACCACTGAGCCACACCCAGCCGGGCGAAAAGGATTATTTTAAAAAACCCACAATGCTATTATTTTTTTTGTTAATCCTCACATGAGGATATTTTTCCATTGGTTTTTAGAGAGAGTGGGAGGGAGGAAAGGAGGGAAGGAGAGAGATACATTGATGTGAGAGAGACATTGATTGGTTGCCTCCTGCACACGCCCTGACAGGCTGGGGATTGAACGTACAACCCAGGTATGTGCCCTTGACCAGAAATCAAACCTCTAACTCTTTGTGGTACGTGGGCCAATGCTCTAAGCACTGAGCAACACTGGCCAGGGCCACAATGCTGTTATTTTAAAAACTAACAGTAATTAATACCTTGAAATATCAATTAGTGTTCAGATTCTCAGTTGCCTCATAAATGCTTTGCTTTTCCTTGTATAGTTTTTTCTTGAACCTGTATCCAAATAAGATTCTTACATTGTGTGATTTCATTAAAACTTTTTAATGATTTAGATTCTTTATAGGTTCTTCCTTTTTTTTTCTTGTAGTTTTTTTACTGTTTAAGAAACCAAGTTTCCATGATCTAGAGTATTGCTTCCATGTGATATCGTTTAACATGTTCCTCTGTTTTCTGTTTTTTCTGAAAATTCAGGTTTGTTTGTTTACTTAGAGAAAACTATTTCATAGGTGGTATATTTCCATCAGGAGGTATATAATGTCTAGTTCTTTCTCTTTTTGTGATGTTAACATCCATTGATAATAGTGCCATCAGTTCTTATGTCATGGTCCCTTTAGTCATTTTTTTTCTGTGATTTGTTATCTAATAGATTCCTGAGGAAAGACTCATGGATACAGTATTGCCTGTTGATAATAGCTTGTTTATAACTTTATACCTGGAAGTCATTTTGGCTGAATATAAAATTACTGGTTCACATTTTCTTTCCTTCAGTATCTTAAGTTTTTTTTAGTTTTTTTCATTGTTTATGGAATAAAGCATACTTTAAAAAGTCTGATGCCTAGTCAGACTTTCTTTTTTCCCTTTTAAGTGATTTTGGTCTTTTGCCTAAACTCAAAAGAATGTTTTCTTTAAAAATTTGTAGTTATACTAGAATATATTTTGGTGTTATTCGCGGTCACTTTTTCTGGGTACACAATATACATATGCAGTTTATGGTTTCAAATATACATGTTTTTAATTTCAGCAAATTTTTGTTATAATTTTTTGGTATTTGGTTTGATTGCTTTGGGGTTTTTCTTTAGGGACTCTTGTTTTATATATATATATATATATATA